GGCGCTTCCTGCTCACCTTCTCCGCCCTCCATTTCCCATCAAAACACCACCCACACACATATGTGTGTACACGTACACATACACATGTGCGCACACAAATACGTACATACGTACATACACGCGCGCGCCCGCAGGTACCTGACTTCCTCCCTCACGGAGTTCAGCAAAAGGTGGGCGGTGCAGGGGGGGGGAAGGGGGAGTGAGGGAGAGGGGAAACGGGGTTTGGTAATCTTATTGGGTTTTGTGGGCAGGTCGGTCAGTCGGTTCGTTGGTTGGTTCGTTGGTCGCTTCGTTGGTTGGTTAGTTGAACTTGCCTAGGGGTCCATGTGCGCCCTCGCAAACCTCTATGCGCGGCCCCCCCCCCACACCGGCCTTCAACCACTATCTCCACCACCACCCTATTCGTGTGTCACACCTCCACGCAACGCAACACGCAACGCAACACAACACAACACCACTACCTTGGGCCTCACCACTCACCACGGCGGCACATCCCCTTCCAAACACACACCCCACACATGACCCCACACTGCTCATGCCTGTCACTCGAATATCCTTAATCCCTGGCCCTACATGCTCGTTCATGGTTGGTGGTTGGTGGTTGGTCGTTGGTCGTTTTCCCTCAGTTCCGGTCTGAGTGAAGCCTTTCTGGGCACCATCGTGCTGCCCATCGCGGGTAACGCCTGCGAGCACATGACGGCGGTCATTGTGGCCACGAAGAACAAAATGGACTTGTGAGTGCGCCCTCCCGCGAGGTGTCGCATGTGTGTGGGGGTGGGGGGGTGGGGGGTGGGGGTTAGGGCCACGTGGAGGGGGGGGGATGGGCGACTAGATGGCTGTAGAGCGATAGAGAGATAGAGAGATCTACATATAGACTTGCCACACACACATATACTACATATTTTGGCATGTATGTATGTCTGTATTTATATGTGTGTGTGCGCCCCGTGTGTGCTCGCAGGTCTATGGGGGTGGCGGTCGGCTCGTCCATTCAGGTGGCGCTATTTGCCGTACCCTTTGCTGTGGTGGTTGGCTGGATTACAGGTAAGTTGGTTGGGTTGGTTAGCTGGTTTCATACATGTCGGTAGCTGGGGGCGAGGGAGTGGAGCGCCTGTCAGTCAGCCCCTCCTGCACGTTCGTCTTCACCGTCGCCTCCGCCAGTCTCCCCTCTTTTTCTATCTTTTTCTGTATATTTATCTTTTCCGCTCCGAATCCTGTCTTCGAACCAACATGACTCCGACATGCGCTCCATCCGGAATGTGGTCAACCACTTCCGGAAAGGCGATCTCGCTTCCCGATCTCAACCACATCGGGTTCCCTTCCTCTGGCCCAGTTCGTTTTCGCTTCCTTTCTTTCCTTTTTGCCGCCTTCAGGCCACCCCTTCACGCTGGACTTCGACCCCTTCTCCGCCATGGCGCTGATGCTGTCCGTGGCGCAGGTGCGTGCGTGCGTCTGTCTGTCTGTACGTATGTATGTATGTCTATGGGAGGAAGCGTTTTGGGGGGGAGGGTGGAGGGAGCAACGGCGGGCAGGGGAGAATGGGGAGGGGCTTGGGGGAAAGGGTGGGGGGGTGGGGGTGTTCCCGCGAGCTGTTCACAAGGCTGTGGGGGGTCCATGCCGGGGTCCACCACAGCACGGGGACACCACAGGAGGTACCTCACACCACCCCAACTGCACACCCACCTTCCCTCAGCGCCACCCCCCCACCCTCAACCCCCCCACACCACCCCAGTCAGTTCTACGTTTGATACACTCTTGCCCTGGCAGCAGCTTCAATCGTGTGTGGTTCGTCTTTCCCACCCCACCCCACCCCACCCGGCGCACAGTCCAACTTCGTGACCGCCGGTGCCACCTCGCACTGGCTGCTGGGGGTTCAGCTCATTGCGCTCTACGTGCTGCTGTCACTGGCCTACTACTTCAAGTAGGGGAAGGAGTGACTGTGAGAACTGGGTTCTGGATTTGGATCTCTGGAGATCTCTCACAGCGGCCACAGGTGGATTTCAGGTCTGGAGCTGGATTGGATCCGCATCTGCAAACTCTTTTACGGCTGTTAGGGCTGTTGCTCAGCAGCAGCAGCAGCAGCAGCAGCAGCAGCTTCAAGGTGCAAACTGCAATAAGGGCGCCGAGAAAGGACGGATGATGCCAAAGATGGGGCAGCTATTCGTACGGCTAGTACGACATAGAGCCCGTCAGGAGCTTTCAAAACGTGCTTACTACTTGCTGCTTCACAGACCAGCTGACTGATTGACAGGCAGACAGGCAAACGGACATACATACATACATGCATATCTAGTACATTCCTTGCCTACAGAGGGTAATACAGACCGACAGATATTCATCTCGGCTTGGCGACCAGGACCCGGACCCGGACTTGGTGTCCCACCGTCGACCTCAGTCGCCCTTCAGTAGTGTTTGTAAGTGTGTGAAAGCGGTTTGGGGTTGCTGTGACGCCGACCTGATGCGCCTTGAAAAGCGGGCTGCTTTTTGCAAGGAATTGATTTGTGTACATGTATGTCTGCATGTGTGTCTGCATTTGTGACCGTAATGTGATCACGATGCGGAAGATGTACGGCAGGCGGCAGAGGGCGGCCAGCCAGGAGTCGACTCCAGCCAGGAGTCGTCACCGCCGCCGGCCATAGTATATAACACCGTACATTAAGACTCGGAAACTGGAGGGAATGCCGTACATTCACCACCACCCCACGCCGCCCTCCCCTGCGCCGCCCAGCGCAGCGCCGCCCTTCCCTCATCCGCCCCCTGCAGCGCCGCCCCCCCCCTGCGTTGCCCAGTTGGTCGTGTGAGGATCCGGGTGGGTCCCCCACCGCCTCCACAAAAGCTGGTGGCCGACCAAAGATTATAGCAGTCCCGGCCCAGACCAACTTAAGACCCAACTTCCAAGGAAACGATGCACGCAGGACCCCCCCCACCGAACCACACACACACGCACACAAACAGGCGATGTGCCCTTTGGCTCGGGGTTTCTTTGCCTTGCGGTATAGAAACTTGGTAGCCCTCTGTAATAACAACAACATCAACAACATCAACAACATCAACAACACACATACATATCCAAAGCTGCCCACCGACCCACCCGTGAGTAACTGAACGTGTTGCCGTAACGCAGTTTCCGGGTCCTCAGACACACCAGGTCGGAGGGGTCGTCAGCGTCCTGCGGGCAAATGCAAGAGGGCATCATCCGGTTGATATCCGGGTCGAACACGAAAGTGTACTGCCATTTACCCCCAACATCACATTACACATGACACCCCGCCCATGCACACCTGTGTACGTGTGTATGTGGGGGAGAGCGGGGGGTAAGGCCCTGGAGCAGCGTTCTCAAGGTGAACGGGGGCGTCGCACACCATTCAAATCACACGCCAGCTTTTCAAGTTTTGGTTTGAGCCCCCGGGATTGGGGGATTAGACCGTTTTTGCAACTCTCTGCTGTCCGCTCCCGACACACGAGGGGCTGCAACGAGGAGGGCCGCTTGTCTAGTCTCGACACAAGGGGTTGGGACGGACGAGGATCACTGTCATTTGTCCATTTCCCACTATCAGTTGTTCACTAATGACCCGCCGCTGTCCTCCGAAGGTGCTGCAACAAAATACCCAGATATGCGAGCATGCCTATTGGGGTACAAAACCGTGTGGGATTGGCAAGGAAAGAGATCTCTTGACTTACAATGAGAAGCAAGTCTGATTTAGTGGCAGTCTGATGCCAGTCTGGGGCGCACAGCATTGCACTCCAGCATTCGCACGGATGGGGGCACAACCCAAACCGGATCCCCGCATCTGGGAAACCGGACAACCCAACACCGCAACAAGGTCGTCTTAGTACCCAACAGAGGCCGGAAAACCCTGAATCACTGTCACGGGTACTGGTGCCAGGGTCGAATAACTGTATGGAAATTTTTTTGGTAAAAGCCGAGGAAAGAGTGTCAAACTTACTACGTTACACCATCACTGTTAAAGCGACAGTTGTCTTGTTGCGCCCAATTATTGCGCAAACCTGCCTTTTGGGGGGAATTTCTGCACCCTGCCGTACGGCTGCCGTACCAGCGATGATGAATTTCTGCAACGGGTACAACGGAAGGACCCGCTTTACCAGCGGCGTTTGCCGACCCCTGCTACCCAACATCAGGGTAAGAAAGTCATCGAGCCAAGGGTCCTGCGAATGCAATCACTAACCCTGAAATCATACCGGAATGCCCGGCGTCGCTTGACAGTTCGCATGAATCACATTCATTCTTCCGCCGTACCGCAAGCGCGAGAAGTGCGGAACCAGATTCCTCCTATCCGCGAAACCAGACTCTGCTTGCGGATGCGGACGGAAACTGTTTTCGCAAATTTACGCTTTCGCAAATTTCCGTTCCCGCTCTTTCCCTGTTTCAAAGTGAGCAATGGCGTACAATCCGTACGTCCGATAAAAGTTGTGTACAGTGGTCCCAATGGAAAATAAAATGAAGGAAATTTGTTAACTGTTCATGAAAAACTTGAAAATTTCCTAACCGCTGGCCAATGGAAAGACCCTCATTGACGACAAATGAGAGCCAGCAGATGTGCGCTGCCGTCACAGAGGCTGGCTTAGACTCCGCTGATTTAGATGAAGATGACTTGAAGATACTGTGGACAGCTAAATTCCGCACCGCTGCACGCCTGCGTGCAGCTAGACGGGAAGATCTCGTCGATGCGGGTCTGGCGCCTGGCGTGGTGGTCAGCATTCTGCAGGCCTTAGGTAAATTCTAAGGGCGGTTTCTGTGCCACCAACCTGTAAGATTTGCGCAAGGAGCTGTTAGGAGTGTCATTGGACGCATAGGGCGTTAGGGCCTCGTCAAGCCCTGCGCGAATTGTGCCACAATTGTGCTGCGGTGCTTAGGCATTGTGGTTGAGAGTAGACAGGACGCTGGTGGCGAGTTCCAAACCTAGGTTTTGCAGGTTGCCTTTGCAAACTTGCGCGTGAAGCTAGCTTGGGTGTTAAGAATGCTGCATGAAGATTGTTACTACATGCAAGGCGCGTCGCCTCTACCTGCACCCGCCACATATCGGGAATCCAGGATGCATGTGCTCATCCTTACATACCGACCTGCATTGGTTTTTCGCCGTTATGTTCCAATGAGCATTGTTGTGTTTGCGAAGAGTCTGGTGGCTTTGGTAGCTGCATGCCCCTCCGATTTTTTGCATGCTGAACGGCCAAATCCACGGCTTCTACCGCAGTGGTTCTGGACGAGAATGCCACGCGCTTCTTCGCTACACTGCATACCATTGCACGGTCTTCTGAACCGTTGGTCATCTGTGTGTTCCTTTGCCAAAAGAGCACACCCCTGCTATGTCGTGACAAATGACCTACCTGCGTAATTCACCCTCTTTTTCCCTGTTCGATGTACAGGTGCTGCAACTGCTGCCCCGCCACCGGGTCCCAGCTCTGGTGAGTTCGCCTCATTTTTTCGTTAACTTCTTGGAGCTGAATGCAGTGTTATAAAGTAATATATTCCTTAAGCAGCCCCTCACACAAATGTGTCCGGTCGTACTGTGCCGAATAAACCCTTCGTACAAGATGCCCCAAAGCTAGGCGCGAATTTTACCGCGCGGATGCGCGCGTGCGATTCTCAAAATGCGCCTGTACAAGTGTATGTAATTTGTTTGGCGAAAAAGGCACCGGTGTGCCAGCGCGCTGCGCCGGAGGGCATGTTGGCCACAGCCGCACGCGGCAAGCAGGCCCGGACGAATGGGTGGCTGTTTTGACGTAACGGAAAGCATACAACTTTGCTTGCAAGACCGGGCTCATGGAACGGCCGCGGGAAGAGGAAGCGTCTGGCGAAAGCTACCAAAAGCAGGCGCCTCTTCTTTTCGGAAAGTGCCAAAAAGAAGAGGCGCCTGCTTTTGGTAGCGCAACACAAACAGCACCCTGTTCCGACTAAAGTCACATTACAAACTGACACAAATTAAATATAATATACACAAATTAAACATAAGAACAGGAAAGTCGTTCAGAACCGTGTGGGTGACATGGACGCCGCTGATGGCTTGGAACTGCTTTTTGGAACAGCCGATACCGACACCAGCGTTTTGGGTGGTATGGGCCTAGCACCCGCCCAACACCCGCCCCAGGGGAGCTTGCATAGAGCGCGCCAGCTGTAGGCAGGTTGGGGTGGGTGGGCGGGGCGCTCGCTCGGGCATGGCACGGTGGGTGCATGGGCTGCGGCGCAGGCCTGGGCCCCGGCTGAGTACTGCTGAATAGCACTCTGTCTTGATACTCTGGGACTATTTATTTCCTTCATGTCTGTCTTCTACAGTTCACCCGATCGCCTCAAGTATGGTTGCGGCTCTGCTGCGCATGCCGGCGCTGCCGGGTCCTGGCGAGCTGCTGAGCCTGGGGCCCAACGTCGTCTTCCAGTTCCAACCGGACTTCAGCGCCCTGTATGTGCGAGAATGCTACCCGCGGCTATTCGACGCCCTGGTGTGCGATGAGAAGCCGACGAAGTACATCGGTAGGAGCCTAGGAGACGTGGCCTTTCGCCTTGTGCACACAAATATGCGGTCGAAGTGATTGGATAGATGGAGAGGACAACCAGGAGTGGTACACAGGGAAACAGGTGGCACTCCTGACACGATGCAGACGGTACAACCACAGATACGATGTCCACCTTCCTCGGCTTATGATCCTGTGGTCACATGCCTACACTTCTCACAGTCACGGGCACGCCCGGCATCGGGAAATCCTGGTTCGCGACATACCTCATCCTACGGCTCCTGAAGCGCAGCTCGCCGCCACCCTTCATCTTGTGGGAGCATTTCATGTATCCTGGCGAAGCGGTAAGATAGATCATATCTGCTGTAATTATGGGCTCTAGTCAGAAGCTCACAGCTCAACCAGCAGTACTTGTCCCGTGCTCTAAGAGTTCGTGTTGCCGTTCCTCCTCTCAATTCTTTTTGGCAGTGGTGCTACGTGCACGAGACGGGACAAGTGGTGGTGGGGCAGCGTTCGAGCTTCAGACAGCTGCTCGACAACCCCGCGACCTGGTACATCGTCGATGGTGCACCGCCGCTATTCGACATCCTGGCGCGTACCGTGCTGCTGACATCGCCCAAGCGTGAGACATACAAGGTGGGCGCGGGGTGTGCGTCTTTGGGACGGGGAAGGTGCAGTGCAGGCCGATGCGGATGGACACTTGAAGTGGTGAGCCAATCGAGCATTCGCACTGTATCGAGCTTTACTGAGTGACGTTCGAGCTGATAGCGAGGTAGCGGGTGCACGTGCTGCTGGAATGGCACCTGTGAGATGGCAGCACAGGTGTTGCAAGAGGCTTCATCGTTGTGCGAACTGCAAAAGTAAATAACAGGTTTTGGGCACTCCTGAGCAGCACCCAGTTGCCGCAAGGGGGACACGTTGTTGCATGGGCGCTGCTGGTATGTGCTTTGACACGACTGTCCCATTCGCTGGTCACTGCACGCCCCTAACGTAAATTTCTGCTTGCACCTGCCTGCAACACTCAAGTAACAGTGGGCCGTGTATGCACCACGGCAGCGTTGAGGTGCTTGCTGGGGTTCTGTGTAATCTAGCCTCTGCCTCTAGCTCTGAACTCTGCAGTGTGGACCGTTTCCTGCAGGAGTTGCGCAAGCACGGCGCAGCGCTGCTGTACATGCCGCTGTGGGAACTGGACGAGCTGCAGGCATGCAGGAGGTGTGTGTGTGTGTGTGTGTGAGTGAGCATACGCGCAGTGTGCATCTTGGCATTCGGCGTTGCTGACTGCCAACAATGCCAGTCAGCATTGGTCCAGTTCAGGGCGTGTATCTAGCGGGACTCCGCTGAGGCGTTCACCCGTCGGAGGGAACTGCGCCACTTGTTTTGGTGTTTGTTCATGGACTCTCTCCTAACCGGTCCGGCAGGCCATGCCGCCCTGGCAAAACTCCGACAATGGGGCCCATAGCAATGTTAACACGCACAAACCCATACGGCATGGCTTCACACGCATGCACACAGCACGCGCAACCCACCAAGCAGTTTCTTTAAAGAAACTGCAAATTTGCAATGCGCATGTTCGCCCACATCGCAGGCTGATGTACAGCACCGTGGACGAGTCGCTTACCACGGCGCTGCACCAGCACTACGGCGGTGTGGCGAGGTTTGCGCTGGGGCTGCCGTGGACCAATCCCGGCAAGGGGCTGCACAAGCTGCTTGAGGAGCTGCGCACCGCGGTGGACGGCTGCAACACTGCGCAGGTGTGGCGTGAAGCATACAACCCTGGTTTTGCGCATGCATGGGCTTTCTTGTTGTGGGCCCTGCCTTATGTGCTGATGGAAGGCATTTACAGCTCTTGGCGAATCGGTATCCATGTTTGTGGCGTGTCTCATTTGCTGCCTTGCATGCATGGCTGCGCATACAGATGCGGAGCTCGATTGGCGCCATCAGCTCGGGGCCGGAGGTAAGCCACAGGCTCCTGCACATCGTTGCCAACAAGAAAACGTGCGAGATGCAGTACCTCAAGTTCGCCAGCAAGTGGGTCGCTGAAGAGTTCGCAAAGAAGGCAGTGCGCAATGAGCTGCAGGTACGCCAACGCAGTATAGCATGCAAACTGAAGGGAT